GCTATTGGCTGCTAGACTTCCTCACCAACAGACCTCAGTCAGTCTGGGTCGGAGAGAACGCCTCTGATGTCATCGGTCTAAGCCCCTCCCCTCAGGGCTGCGTCCTGAGCCCCCTGCTGTTCACCCTGATGACACACGACTTCTTGCAGCAGCTGGTGGACTGGTGCAAAGATAACAGCCAATGACCCCTCACCCCCCCCACCATGGACTGTTCTCCCTGCTGCCCTCTGGGAAGAGGCTTCACACAGTTACCTCTTTAAAGCATCAATTTTGTTAATTATAAGAAAAAGATGAAAATGTCTCAAAGGTTTTGCAGAGAAACTTCAACACAATCTAAACTTCATTTTGGAACAGGAAAAACATCTCTGTTCTTTGCTTCAGTTTCTCTGTTATGTCAGAAAAATTGAAGCTTTCTGAAATATTTTCAACATTTAAAAACAGACTGCAGCTTTAACCTTGCTCTCCTGTTCTTCATTCCTTCAGGTCTTTAACAGCATCATGTCTGTTATTACAGGGAAGGTGGTTCCTGATCATCTGACTGAGGAGAGGAGCTCTGTTCCAGATCTAAACACTTTAGACGCTGATGAATTAAAAGAGGAACTGGATCCTGTGCAGATTAAAGAGGAACAAAATAAAACGAAACCAAAGCAGATGACTGAGAGAAAAGAAGAACTAGAAACTCAACCAGGTAACAAGGAAGAATTTGAAGATTGTAGGTTTTACAATGAAAGACTGGTCTTAGTGAAGCAAGAGACCAGCACCTTTATGGAAAGTCCTTCTGATAAAGAAGTATTCCTAAATGGACCAGAATTACAACTGATGGTGGAGACAAAGGAAGAACCGGAAGCTTGGCAAGTTAAAGAACCGGAAGCTTGGCAAGTTAAAGAACAACTTGAAATCTTTCAGGATGAAGGGCTGGTTTTAGTGAAGGAGGAGTCTACTTACTTCACTCCTGTCAATCAGAAGGACTCCAATAAACCAGAAACTATTGAGAGACATTTGCTCAGTTCAACCCTCACTGAAGCTGAGAAGCAACATCAGCAAGACTGCAGACCAAATGTAGAAAAAGAGCTGAAGCCAAAGGAAAAAGGCAAAAGAAACCCAAAACAAAGACACTATATGAAAAACTCAAAAGAAATGATACATAAAGAGAAGTTACATTTAGATGACAAATATTTCACTACTCAGCAAAAGTTAAATGTACAGATGAGAATTCCTAAGGGGGAGAAGCCTTTCTCCTGTCTTACCTGTGGAAAAGGTTTTCCTAAGCAACATGTCCTGACTGTGCACATGAGAACTCACACAGGGGAGAAACCCTATTCTTGTGAGTTGTGTGAGAAAGCATTTCGAGACCATAAAAATTTAATTTTTCACCTGAGAACTCACACTGGTGAGAAGCCTTTCTCCTGCCTGATCTGTGGAAAAGGTTTCACTTCGAAACTAGCTCTTAAGGCACACATGAGAACTCATACAGGAGAGAAGCCTTTCTCTTGTGACACCTGTGGGAAAAAGTTCTCTAAACCACAGCATTTGACAATGCACAAAAGAACTCACACAGGTGAGAGGCCTTTCCCCTGTCTGACCTGTGGAAAAGATTTCTTTCGGAAACCCTCTCTGACTGCACACCTAAGAACTCACACAGGAGAGAAGCCATTCACTTGTCTGACATGTGGAAAAAGTTTTACTCGGAAACATGCTGTGACTGCGCACATGAGAACTCACACAGATAACAAACCCTATCGTTGTGAGTTGTGTGAGAAATGTTTTCGAGACCATAGAAATTTGATTTGTCACCTGAGAACTCATACTGGTGAGAAGCCTTTCTCCTGTCAGACCTGTGGAAAAGCTTTCACAAGGAAACCTGATCTGAGCGCACACATGAGAACCCACGCTACTAAGAAGCCATATCCTTGCGAGTTGTGTGAAAAATCCTATCGGGATCGCAGCAACTTGATTTACCATATGAGAACTCACACAGGGGAAAAGCCTTTCTTATGTCATACTTGTGGAAAAGCTTTCTCCACACAACCCACATTGACTGCACATATAAGAACCCACACAGGTGAGAAGCCATTTGCTTGCAAACTTTGTAATAAATCTTTTGTTAACAGTGGTACTTTGGTTTGCCACATGAGGACTCACACAGGGGAGAAGCCTTTCTCCTGTCAGACCTGTAGAAAAACCTTCTTTAGTAAACCTGCCCTCACTGCACACATCAGTACTCACACAGGTCAGAAACCCTTTCCCTGTGAGTTGTGTGAAAAATCTTTTCAGAACCGCAGTTATTTGGTTTGTCATGTTAGAACTCACACAGGGGGAAAGCCTTTCTCATGTCAGATCTGTAGAAAAGGTTTCTCTAAGCAACCTACCCTGAATGCACACATAAGAACCCACACAGGTGAGAGGCCCTTTACTTGTGATTTGTGTGAGAAATCTTTTCGAGACCGTAGTAATTTGATTTGCCACCTGAGAACTCACACAGGTGAGAAGCCTTTCTCCTGTCTTACCTGTGGAAAAGGTTTCCTGAGGAAACCTGCCCTGACACTACACGAGAACTCACACAGATAAGAGGTGTGTTTGGAAAATTTAGATTTCTCTTATTTAATATATTGATTTATGCTTTTTACTTGCTATAAAAAGTTTTTCGCTTAGTCTGTTTCACCTGCAAAGCGAGTGAGGGTTGTTTGTAGACAAAACATACTTATTTCCATAACAAGCCAGATTCTTAAGGTTTATTCATAACATGTTACTGTTTAACCAAAGTGTCTGTAATTTGTTTTGACTCTGACTACTTTCCTTTATTGTAAGTAAGGAGGAACAAACGCTGCTCATGCAGAACAGGACTGATTACCTTGCAAAAAGGGACGTATGATGAACTGTTCTCTCTTTGCAAAGACAAAATACAATGCCAACTGAGTCAAATCCATCGATCTCCATTTTTTAAACTGGAGTTAATAGTTGAATACTTCCAATAAAAGAGACTATATCCTCGTTAGGTGGTGTAAAAACATTGTTTATCATCAAGAGTTATTTGATTTTTCACATGGAGACTTAGAAAGCAGAGAATGTTTTGTAATATGTGACGTTTATTTTCTTAACTTTGTTGTAGATAATTTAACTACAATTAATCCTAAGGATAGTTGAGAAACTTTAACAGAAAGCTATTTCTTTTGACCTTGGGGAAAAAAAGTTGTCAGTAAAATAAGACCCCTAAGCCAAAAGTCTCACCTTGCTGGTGTGGGTCTATTGAGAAAAGACTTTGTGCAATGACAAAAACAAAACCAGTTCACATTCAGAAGAAAATGGAGGAATGGATAATTAAATTATAATTCCTATAGCCAGAGATGGGCAGTAATGCATTGAGGCCCACTCCCAATACACCCCCTACATACAGCCACTACAAACACACCCTGGAATTGAAGCCCCGCCGGGCGTGGCTTCATAATCTTCCCTAGGAACTTGCTGCATAGTTGATGTTCTGGGACATAAATGACTATTTATTTTCGTATCAATGTACTTAACATACGTACCATCATAAGAGGGGAGAAAAAGCTTCTCTTGATATATATATATATATATATATATATATATATATATATATATATATATATATATATATATATATATATATATATAT